TAAACCCCACAAATCAATCAATCTTCAAAAATAGTTTATTCAAGCAGCTATAAGTGAAAAAGAACTTAATTTATTGAAAATTATGCGCAACTTGGAACTCTCTTATTCCCCTACACATTCACACACGCACGTGTTCATGACAACGCCCCACAAACAGCGCTCTTTGTGGGGTTGTTAGTAGAGTGCGGTTGTGAATTTGTATGTCAGTAAGGAAGCTCTAAGTTGTGTTTAGTATTCGAGATGACATATTACAAACTTTAGCCAAACGGCAAGCTCTATCGATCATGAACTTAAACTACATCGTTGGTCATTGGTGTTTTTTGTAAGCGGAGCCGTTCGAGGTATTTAACATTGTCAGCGCCACATCAAAAACTAGGTAATGACTGCCGTAAAATAAGCCCAAATGTCATGCACAAATTCGATCAAAAACTCATGCACAAGGGCCGTGCTGGAGACAACAAGTGTAGACTTGCCTTCTTCAATGCTGCAACCCTGAAGACCCTGAAGGCTTCACTTGCATCCTTGAAGAAGACAAGTCCGGTTGTCGACATGTCGGCTTCAGTACACCCACCACTGTTAACGAATTTTTCGTCCTAAGCTTCCCCTGTGCACTAGAGTAAATGCAGTAGAGTAAATTGAATAACTTGTGCAAAACAGCAGTCGTATGTCCGACCTTTTGCTCACAGATGTCAAAGAGTTGTTTTGCAAGCTTGACTCCGTTCGGTGCTCATTTATCGTTAGCTAAGCTTGCCAAAGGGGAACTTTATGAATGAATGACACTAGAGTGGCGCGGAGAAAGTGGCAATTATTTTGACAAGATAGTTGCCGGAGCAATTCTGTTTCGACCTCTCTAATGAAATGCATAATTTCCCTAGGCACGTTGCCCGGGTCAAAAGATTTCTGCATGTGCACGCGTCAAAAGGAGTGGCATAGCGGGACGCCCATCAGGATATCAAGCTACGTAATTCACTATAAACGCGATGGATCTAATCTGCTAGCTTATTACACCTGCCAGCATATTTTTTGGCAAGATATAGATATATATGTGGTGTTTAACGTCCCAAGCCACCATATGATTATCAGAGACGCCATAGTGGAGGGCTCCAGAAATTTCGACCACCTGGGGTACCTTAACGTACACTCGAGTCTGAGCACACATGCCTGATGACTGATTGGCTGATATGTGGAGCTTAACGTCCTAAAACCACGATATGAATGTGAGACACGCCGTAGTGCAGGACTCTGGAAATTCTGACCACCTGATGCTCTTTAACGTGCACCCAAATCTGAGCACACGGGTCTACAGCATTTTTGCCTCCATGGGAAATGCAGCCGCCGCAGCCGGGATTCAACACCGCACCTGCGGGTCAGCAGCCGAGTACTTTAGCCTTCAGACCACCGCGGCGGGGCTATTTTGGGGCAGGGGTTTAACGTTAAGGTGTGCACGAGTTGCTGTTGGTAAGATGACCCTGTCGGTGAGTGTGCAACTCATGCGTCGCCCGATGCCCGAACGCAATGGTTTTATTGCGATAGAAATTATATGGACACTCTCGGCTGGATTTTGCCACCGGCGTTGGCGTCGACGTGGGCTTGGCTGTCACTCACCGTATATGTATACGTATCTATAGATATATGAATATACAAGAAAGAAAAAAAAATCCAGAATAAGACTCTCACATGCTGAATTGAACGCGGGTCCCTTGAATCGTGAGTGTGAGGTATTAACCACTGAGCCACAGAGGAGCACGTTCTTCAACGTTCAAACGGCAAGCTATCTATATCTACCACTTACCGTTGCTGACGGGCATCTTGGGGGAACTATCATGTTTTTTTAGCGTTGCCAGCAAGATGGCGCAATGAGCGCACGTAGCAACATCACGACGCGGTGGTCGCGCTCTCATTTCCCAGGCGCACTTTGCCCCGCAACGAGCAAGGGGTCGGCGCTCACTCTCGCGCCCTTATCTCACGGTAGGGAGGATCGTACGTCTCGGCTGGCGTTCTGCTTTTACCAAAACGATTCTGTTTTAGTTACCGGGCACACAAAGGTCACTCGCGTCTCTCATAATCAAATGGTGGTTTTGGGACGTTAAACCCCACAAATCAATCAACACAAAGGTCACTGCAAGCACTGCAGTCTCCGTTTGGGAAAAGCGCGTGCTTTCAATAAACAGCGAAGTAACAACTAAGACGCTTTTTCGCGTTCATCTGTGCCTGAGTGTACGTTTCGTGCGTCATTTGGGCGTGATAAACGCGGGGCACCTTTCTGCGCGTGATCTTCCAATTTGTTGCTAGAGCGTTCATTGTTTCGCCTTTGCGGCAAAGCTGTGACTTTTTGGTGCTTGCGTACCTGGGAAGTCCCAGAGTATGCCTATAGGTTTGATATATAAGCTTGCTCTGGAAAACGAAGACAAGCAAGGGCAACTAAAAACTTGCCCAAATCTTTCAGGATCGCCGAACCCTACGGTATGTTCACGCTGCTCGACAGGCGAGAGACCTACCCGCCGCAGTGGTCTAGTGGCTAAAGTACACGGCTTTCACTCACTGTTCGCGGTATCGAATCCCGGCTGCGGCGGCTGCATTTTCGATGGAGGCGACAAAGCTGTACGCCCGTGTGCTCAGATTTGGGTGCAAGTTAAAGAAGCTCAGGTGGTCGAAATTTCCGGAGCACTCCACCGTTACACGCTACATATCAATCATCAATCGAGGCGAGAGACCATTGCACCATATGCGCGGTGACCAGCCATGGGCAACCTATTACTGCAGCTACCGTAAAAACAGTCTCTGCATTGGAGGCAGTAGAAGCCGACATCGTGCTCGTCATATCTGTTAAGGGAATTGATTGCGTCTTGTCCGATTCCAAAAGGGTGCTCACGAACTTTATGATGGGCTGTGTTGGACCGATCGCGGCCAACATCCTCGAATATTACCAACCAAGCGATAAGATACAACTTGTGTGGGTGCCCGCTCAGGCGGGAATCCGGAGAATGAGGCGGCTCATCGTGTAGCCCCTGGTTTATCATCCGAGAGGTGGACCCCTCAGCCCTAGACTTTCCGCAGGAAGGGATCATCACATATAGCGAAATTACCGCTTATTACAGACAGAACCGCAAAACATACATATCGCCACATACTGATATTACAATGAAAGAAGCTATGATCTAGATGCAAATTCAAACAAATTATTTTCCCAGCCCCAATCGGCTGTCTAAAATTTACCCAGAAGACATGAACGATACTGCTGACATCGCGGCTGCCTGAGGGCCACACAAATCACATTTTTTGGGGGGGGAATGCGAGGGGAACCCTCTACCAAAGACATTACTGCCAGCTTCCTCCCTCAAGGCATGGGAGTCACTCCTCTTGTCGAGTGACTACCGGGTTCAGGCAGAAGCGGTTAACTGGGCCGAAACAGTCGTGGCAACCTATTGGCCAACACCATTAGCACCATCGGCACGCTGAATTAATTCAACGACCTCACTTTTCAATAAAGTTAATTCTCTCTCACTTATTATACCCGGTGTATTTCAAGAAATATTTCTCAAATTTTCAAAAACCGGGAAATGCGATATTCGCTCGCTGCCTTAAAATGGAGTTTTCTGTAGCGCCCGGTGCATCTTATGATTAGAAGGTTTAAGTAATTAACGTCTTAAGAAGGTTTAAGTAATTAACATTCAAATGCGAAGCATTTTCTTGCGTACTGCATGCACATTGACTATCTATCTATCTATCTATCTATCTATCTATCTATCTATCTATCTATCTATCTATCTATCTATCTATCTATCTATCTATCTATCTATCTATCTATCTATCTATCTATCTATCTATCTATCTATCTATCTATCTATCTATCTATCTATCTATCTATCTATCTATCTATCTATCTATCTATCTATCTATCTATCTATCTATCTATCTATCTATCTATCTATCTATCTATCTATCTATCTATCTATCTATCTATCTATCTATCTATCTATCTATCTATCTATCTATCTATCTATCTATCTATCTATCTATCTATCTATCTATCTATCTATCTATCTATCTATCTATCTATCTATCTATCTAGCCGCCTACGTCTGCGTACTCTCGTGATCACCCCCTTGACTTGGTATGAACCAGAACTTGTATGGGAGGGTAAGATGGTTTGATAAATACGACACGCCGGCCATGACATGGATACTGTTCCAATTCCATCGCGTGCGTCGTAGAACATTTTCCACCAGGCAGCGGCACATACCCGAGGGCGGGCATGTTCCACGGAGGGTAGACACTTAATGTGTGACCCAGAAAGGGCGACAAAGAACACAAATTGGTATTTTTAACGCGTGAACGTTAAAAGAATACTGACATTGACATCGTCAACTCCATGAATGCAAAGAATAAATGTTGATGTCCAAGCAGGAATGGCAATTACGGCATTATGCCTCGAAATCAAGTATTCTGCTTTTCAAATAGACCCTAATGTTCGTGAAACGTCAACTGTGGTTGCAGTGTAAACGCTACACATGTTATCTTATGGTACAGCCGTCACGTCAGGTTAACGTCAATTGTTGTAAAGCGCTATCCACTAAAGCTGATTAATGTAGCAGCGTCCAAAGCTACCCTCCTCGTGAGCACCAGCGCTTCATATCAGCTTACTACTTCTTGTGTCGCTATTAATCATCTTGCTGTTGGTAATGTTACGCAGCTGTAAACAACTGGTCATATGGAACATATGCGCCTGTTAACATGTATTTTTGAGTGAACTTATACATATTGTGGGCAGTCGTTATGCGCTTCTTCTCATATATGCATTACCATAATGATGATCATCCGTATGGGTCTCTGTCCTCATCTTCATTGGGTGTCACAACAATCATCAGGTGTATGCGTGCTCTGTCTCAGACTGCCCGTTCGCTGCTGAGCCCTTGGGCTAAATAAACGCTTTCTCAACCCAGACGTCGTACGTGGTGGAGGTGGATTTTCGATCCTAGGTCCTCTCCCACCTCGCTCACCTCCCTGGAGCTTCGTTCAGGCCGCCGTTTGCCCCCACTGTTCAGCAGCATGCCACAGAAGGAGCCTGCCGGTGTTGTTGCCATTTCTCCCGCACCATCTTCAGCCGCGCCTCCTGTTTAGGCACACAGCCACCAGCGTGATCCCCCTCTCTGCGCCAGTCTTCGCAGGGAAGACGTGGAGGATTGGCTCGATGAGTACAGTAGCGTGAGTGTTGCTAATCACCGGGACGAAAGCGCCAAGCTCCGTTACGTCCCTTTTTATTTAACTGGTGTGACGAAGACATGGTATTTTAACCACATCATCGACATACTCGACTGGCCGACCTTCGAGCAGCAGCTTCGTCACGTTTTCGGCACACCGGCCATTCGGTCCGCAGTCGCGAATGGAATCCTCGACACTCGCCAACAACATTCCAATGAGTAGCACACGTCGTACATCGAGGACGTCTTAGCGCTCTGGTGGCGCGCCAATTCATCTATGCCGGAGTCCGACAAAGTACGCCACATTTCGAAGGGTAGGTCCTGTTGCCTTCAATGCCCTGGTCGCTAAGAGCCCGGCTACCATCGCCGACGTCGTCATGACATGTCAGCGTCTCGATACTCTGGACTCGATTCGTCTACAACCAGACATTGGCGAACATTCTAACGGACCTCTCCGTGACCTCATAAGAGACATATTGCGTGAAAAGCTGCAGAACATGGATTTCTCACCTCCTTCACCACGTTCTCCACAGTCTACTGAACCGGCATTACGCGACATTATCATAGAGGAACTGACATGTCTGACCTTTCCTGCTCACGCCCATTAACCCACGTCTCGGCGCATACGAATCTACGCGCAAGTCGCTGCCACGCCTCCCAGCGAAGTAAACATGACGTCGCTGGTACCATCGTACGCGCCAATCGCTGCCTCTTTCCCCCTCAACTTCCTTTCGGTCCTGCCTGACGCTTCCTCTGCACACCTGACCGCACTCTGTTCAGGTACTCCGAATGCTTTATACCTCCCCACTGGCGCTCATCTCACCCAGTTTGCTATTACTGTGGGTATTACCAACGCCGACTAAATTTCAAGGCCGAAAGGCTGCCGCAGTGACGTCAGAGGTTGGGGGCCCAGTTGCCCAACTGAGCATGCCCAATAAGACTTTTTTTCCACATCTTTTATTCGGCCCAATCAAGCCGCAGCAGCTGCGAGAGCGGGAGCGTTGGTTCTCCTAAAACGCGAACAAAACACAGGCTTTCCGCCGCATTCGCGGCGTAACTGGGCCCCCACCCTCTGACGTCACTGCGGCAGCCTTTCGGCCTTGAAATTTAGTCGGCGTTGGTATTACGGCTACATTTCTCGTTTCTGCCGCAAGCGCCAGCAAGACGAGCATCGCGGTTACTACATGCGTGAATGAGATACTTCGTCCTATTAAGGTCAACGCCGTTCATCGCCTCCTTACCGGTCTTCATCTCCAACCGCATCGAGTGCATCATGGAACAGCCGGAACAGAAGACGCCGTTCACCTTCACCCGTTTGCCGTTCCTCATCTTCACTTCAGCCTGCCTCAAATGCCACTGCCAGTCATTCGGAAAACTAAGTGATGCAGTTTTTGTGGGGAAAACTGCATTCCAAATTAGTACTGATATTCCTACTTCAGGCCCGTGCAACATGATTTCGGTGGTAGTAGAAGGAGTGTACGTGGATGCTCTGGTGGACACGGGTGCGGCACTTTCTGTCATGCGTGTTGATTCAAGCCAACGTCTCAAAAAAGTGATGGCCTCTTTCGATGGACCCGCCTTGGTTGCTGCCAAGGGGTATACCGTTCGCCCTTCCGCTTTCTGTACAGCCCATGTTTTTACTGATGGTATCCAACATCACATTCAGTTTTCCGTCATGACTGACTGCTCTCATCAATTAATTTTAGGGTGGTGTTTTCTTTCTTCTGCCTCCGCGGCTATTTGCTGCGGCCAACGCGTCATCCACTTTGTCGACATGAACTGCACGCTCAACGACGACACCCAGAGGCCACTCCGTCTGACAGTGGCGCACGATACCGAATTATCGCCAGGTCAAGGATAAATTGTAACTATTGCCTCCAAAAATATCGACCACGGTGACGTCTTGGTCTCACCATCCTTTAGTTGCGTCGGTAAAGGCATCGTTCTCGCTTCCGGTGTAATTCGTTTTCTCAATGGCTCCGCACTTGTCACCGCCGTGAATACAACATCCGAAAAAATTCTACTTCTTCAGAACAAGACGCCGACGCCCTTTCGTGCTGCCCGCTGCCACATACCCAGCTCAGCATCCGTCAAAGTTAGGCCGTCACTTCTACCGCAGTACCCGCGCTCGCCTCAATAGACCAGCTATTCTCGCAGGAAAAGTGCACACTTCACTCCTGCCAGTTGTATAATCCGTACAGTAGGCGTATTAAGGACCAAATCCCAGGAGCTTCCCATCCACCTAACGTGGGGCATCATCGCCAACTCCTGCGATTCAAGCTGGAAAAGGAGTTCTGTACCGTCACATCTACCACCCTGATGGTCAATGCTGGGTTCCCGTGCCACCACGCTCTCTTCGACTTGACTTGCTTAAAGCCTTCCACAACGACGTGACTGTCGGAAGTCTTGGTTTTCAAAAAACTCACGACAGCATTCGAAGTCGCTTCTACGTGCCTGGTATTTCTACTAGCATCGCGCGCTACGTAGGTTCCTGTGTCCCATGCCATGCAGTGTCGTAAAATCCAGACATCTGCACCGGCCGGGCCTCTAAAGCCGATCGCGTGCCCCACAACGCCATTTGAGGTTGTAGGTATCGACCATTACGGCCCTCTTCCTGTCACAACTACTGGCAAACGATGGATGGTGACCACCGCAGATCACCTGACACGCTACGCGGTGACAACGTCTGTGTCAACTGCCTTTGCTCCGGAAGTTGCCGAATTAGTTCTGCACGCCATCATTCTGCGCCACGGCGCCCCTTGTATCTTGCTGAGTGACTGTGGGAGGGTGTTGCTGTAAAGTACTAAATTAAGTATTCCGCGCATCTGGAATAACACACAATACAGCTTCAAGCTACCACCCTTAGACCAACGGTCTCGCCGAAAAATTTCACCGTAGTCTTGCTGATATGATAGCCCTCTACATCAGTCCAGACCACAAAAACAAACATACCATTTTCCCATTTCTCACCTTTGCCTACAACACGGCCGTTCAGCGCACTACCGGATATTCGCCGTTCTACCTCGTTTAAGGACGTTCCCCTACTTTCTTCCTCGACGTTTCCCTTTTCAACACCGACATCAACTCGTCTCCGTCTTCCAGTCAGGAATGCATTTCAAGACTAGTGCGGTGTCGCAATCGTGCTCGCATTAACACGGGAGCGCGACAGAAAGATCGAAAAGTCATTTATGACGCATCCCATTACCTTGTATTCTTCCGACCTGGTGATGAGGCACTCCTGTTCGCACCCATTCGTACACCTGGTCTGTCTGACAAGTTTCAGCCACACTTCATTGGGCCTTACGTAGTTATCGAGCAGACTTCGCCCGTTAATTATCGTGTGACCCCACTTGTCATCCCAACAGACCACCGTCACCGCACCACAGAGATCGTGCACGCGAGTCACATGAAGCCTTTCAGGCGACGCTCTCTGTCACATGGCTTGCTACGGCCAGGTTTGCCGCTTCTATGTGGTGGGAATTAGTGTGGGCATTCATTATGCGCTTCTTCGCATATATTCATTATAATCATCATCATTATCCGTCTGCATCTTCACTGGGTGTCACCAAAATCATCATCAGGCGTTTGCGCGCTTTGTCTCAGATTTCCCGTGCGATGCTGAACCCTTGGGCTGAATAAACGCGGTCTCAATCCAGACGTCATAATATCTTTAGCGCTACTTCGTGACGTTTCGCTCAATAAAATAATTTCAACACAAACTTTTCGTGCACGTGCTTCACATAACATTGGTACCCAAGGTACATAGAATCTGCCATTTGTTTTTTTAATACAGCAGTTAGGTGGTTATGTCGAACGGAAGAATTGAAGTTCTTCACTCGAAGAACCTATGCTAGGCTTGAGATATAGAGAAAGCGGCCCCTGGTAATATTGCGGTGGAACGAATGTAGAGTTGAATTCAGTTGAATTTTACTACGTCATAATAATGGAGGCTGTTCTTTGTGTACCTCAAAGCTGTGAGGCGTTCTTCTTCTGTCAAGCTCGATGACTCTTGTGGTCAACTCTATAGCTTTGTTGAGCCATTGACATAAGATGGCGTAAAACAGAAGTGAACAAATAAAAAGTGGGCAACTATCTCCTTTTACCAAAGATGTGTATTTTATTTATTCGTGTCTTTCATATTCCTCAGGTCTTTCCTCAATTTGTCGTGCCAATATTCCCCAGCTCTTGTCTTTTACTAAAAATCAAAGCTTCCGTTAACAAGCGTCTCAAGTCAAGCTGAAGCACATTGTTAAGTCTCAAAAGTTTTTTTATTTACTTCTTTTCACTTTTTCTTCCAGGCAGTGCCATGCGTCAAAGAGTTCTTATCACGGTCCTTTCCGGATTTCAGTGAAGAGTGTTCGATGAGTGGAATGTACGGAGACGTGAGTGCCGCCTCTTCAAAAGTTTTCGTCCGTGCGACATTTCACTCGCAATGGAGGCCCTTATTTAACAAAGTCAGCGGTAGCAATAATGAGTTACATGATAGAAATTTTTAGCAAGACAACAGCCGCTGAGGTAGTGCCAAATGATGCATATGCTTAAGCAGCACCAGAAATGATTGTATATGCAGAACCAAACAATGATATGCTCATGATCATCTCAGTGACGTAAAGAGATGCAATGGGCATTGAAGGATGCAGCATAAGGGAGCGGCATGTGCAGTGAAATTTTGTGGAAAGAAAAAAAAGAAAGAAAAGAGTGAAAGGAAAGGAGACTGGAAAAGGCCACACTAATTCTTTTTACATTCTTGGAGGCTCTCTCTTGTCTCATGGGTGACATCGTCCTCATCATCGCGACCATCGATACGCTCAACATCGAGATTAGCAGCATGCGCGAGAAGGAAAGGCTCAATCGAAAAGTCTTCATTGATTAAGACCGCCCAGTCCTCTTGGGACTAATGAGAGAATAAGACAGCGGAAACTGAGAAAATTAATATGTCTCAGTTTTTCTTGTCGTTGGCTGCAGCTATGGTAATCTTAATAGCACAGAAACGGTGGGAAACCAAAAACTTGCATTTTTTTACCTATAATTCGCTCTTTCCAATCAACCATGAGTCGGTTGGCCATATCGCACAACCAAACACCTCTTTCACAACTGTAGAGGTGTTAAAAAGCATTGCATGCGCAACCAAGTGTTGCTGCTAAAGAAGCTGGATATGAACGCCCATTCATATTAATGCATACACACAATGCACAAAACGCATGGTGAATTAGAGGGAAAGTGTTTTGATAACTGTTTACATTGACGAGGAACAGTCAGTGGGAACACAGATTTTCAGCAGTATCACGCAGCATTTACCACATGCTGTGTGAACGCGCTATGACGGCAATAATCTGAGAGACTGGTAGGTACGCAGTCTCCACAGTGATATATCCGGTACTCAGCAATGCGCTGTTTGGTCTAAAATGTATTTGATTAGGTATTCAATTCTTATCAGCGGGCATTGATGAGGTACCTGACCTAATTTCCAAAGGAGTTCTTGACGGGCAAGTTTGTACATGATACTGCGTGCAAACAGTGCAAAAGCGGTACTGAGCAGACGTAACACACAGCGCACGCGCTAACAAACAAATGCGCGATTCTACTGTGTCGGAAAATGTATACTCAAAGCAAAAACTAAAAACAAAACACAATAATTATTTATGACATGGTCACAGTGATGAAATACACCGAACTTCCGTCACGAGTCAAGACATCACATTTGACTTGGCAAAACGCTGTTTTCTGTTCTTGAAGCCCGATTTAGGGTTCGCTGACGTAGGTGTTCCCTTTTTTTATATATGAATAGTTTCATCTATTTCACGCTCGATACGATTTTGATATGCAAAAAAAAAAAAAAAGAAAGACAGCCGCTGGAACTTCGACAAGCACACAGGAGGACTGACAACAACCTTAGCACAATTTCGATATATTGAGGGCACTTCGCGGTCATTGAAGAGTGCAGTGCAGCCTCACGAATAACAATGAGCTGCCAAGGTACTCCTTGTTGAATGCTTGAGAGTGCACGCACGCTCTCTAAGGCAGTCGCTCAGGCAGCGGCTGGTTTGCACCGTGTTAGAACGGTCACGTGACAAAGCAATGTACGACATTACAACTTGATTTGAAAGGTGCCCAAAGTACAAGGTACTTGATCTTTAACGACTAAGAAACACGTGCCCTGTAGAAGGCGCCGTCGATGTCTGTGACGTCACAGTGAGCTGGTGCTGGAACCTCGAGGCGGTGACGACACCTGCATTTTCTTATTTGCATGTTTTCCCACTTACCAGGCGTTTTCTCGTGCCAAGTATTGTGCTTTTGTATATGCGTATATTATAAGGGCATTTTTCTAA